GCCTCTGATAGTCCCATTTGTACTCAGAGAGCTTGGATCTATGCCTGGCAGACTGTTGATTACTGGTTGACACCATGAACGAATGAGTGAATGAATGAATGCCTGCAGGCCTTTTAGAGTTTCTTACCAATGGATTCTCAAATGTCTCTGCATCTCAGAATCACTCAAGAGCTTTAAAAAGATTTCTAGGACCCACCCCTAGAAATTCTGATTCAACAGTCTCGAGGCTGAGAAATTTGTCTTTTTGAAAAATTCCGGGGCCAGGCCCGAAGCTGAATGGTTAAGTCCATGCCCTCTGCTTCGGCAGCCCAGGGTTTCACGGGTTCAGATCCTGGGCATGGACATGGCGCCGCTCATCAAGCCATGCTGAGGCAGTGTCCCACATGCCACAACTAGAAGGATCCACAACTAAAAATACACAACTATTCACTGGGGGGCTTTGGGGAGAAAAAGAAAAAATGAAATCTTAAAAAAAAAAAAGACAAGTTCCTTAGGTAACTTGGAGAAGCCATCTTCTTGGGAACCACTCACTGCTGTATATGTAAATTAGGCTTCTGGACTCTTAACTAAATCCCCTGAAGCTCCCGAAGTTTGGTCACCCAGACAGTATCCACGGATTGTATCACAATGACAGGGTCTGGACTAGGATGGTGGTCAAAGACAAAGTATGTTTCATTCCCACAAACCCAGTTACAATTCCCTGTTTACTCTAAGTCCACTAGCTGGAAAAAAAAAATCATTTCTTTTCCAACAATCTCTCAAGCTGAAATAAAACCCCATTAAGTTAGGAGATGAGTTCTCCTATCTTTCAAACACTGTGTTACAGAGGACCCACCACATAGAACCACCACATAGAACCACCACATTAAGTAGAGCAAGCTCTTTATTCTGGAATGTGGTCATAAAAAATACTACTGTCAGTAGAAGACACTCCTTAACCGCGTCCCCACTTCCCGAGCCAGCCATCAGCGGTGGTCGAGTTTGTAAAGCTCACTGAGGCCAGGGAACATATCCAGCTTGCTCTCTGTAATCCCCAGCAGCTGTTCTTGGCACAAAGAAGGAATTTAGGAACTACTTGTGTAATTATATTGAACTGGAGCAGCATGGGGTGCCAATGAGTGGCTGCAGCTGCCAAACCTCATGTCACATACGTGGCCACAGCCAACCGCATATACTGCTTGCACGGAGACAAGGTGGGCATGGGAAGAGTCTGGACACTGGCTGAGACGTGGGCCCTGTTATCATCAGTCCTAAACCGAGCCACTTCCTATTAGCCGCATTACCTGCATTAGAGTCAAGGCCTCTCCGAGTGAACTTGGTACCTGTGGAAGGCAGCCTCACAGATGGTCCCCAATGATCCTCTCCTGCATCGAGCCAGGGTTGTGTGTGTGACCAACAGAACACAGCAAAAGGGACGGTATGTGACTTCTGGGATTAGGTTATAGGAGACACTGTGACTTTCACCCTGGTCAGGCAGTATGTTTCTCTCTCTCTGCCTCTCAGATCATTAGCTCTGGGGAAGCAGTCCTCTGGGGAGGCCAGTGTGGAAAGAAACTGAGACCCTCTGCCAACGACCCCCTGAGGGAAGCTTGGAAGCGAATCCTTTGGCCCCAGGCAGCTTCAGATGATTGCAGCCACAACTGTAACCTCATGAAAGACCCTAAACCAGAACGCCCCAGCTAATCCTCTCTGGGTGTCCTGACCCTCAGAGACAGTGAGATCAATGTTTCCTGTTTTAAGGGACCAAATTTTGCAATATTTTGTTACTCAGGAATAGATAAAAGGCTTAGAAATTAACAAGGTCAGTGGGGTTGGTGGAAGAGATTCTTAAAAGTCGACTCTTCTTCCCCTTGCTAGCTTTCCTTTTGGTTAAGACACATAATCCAGGTACCAACGAGAAGCATGGCGCTGAAAATAAATGCTCCCCACCCCCCCCCCCGCCCCGATTTAATTGGATCTAGGAAGGAAATGAAAAAGGCTTGTTATCTAAAGCACAGAATTTGTTTTTGAAAACAATCCAACACTTTTATTACTAGCTTGAAGCTTAGCAGACAAGGGGCTAACACTGTCTATTGTATACCCAGCTTTTCGAAGACTCAATAAGGAATTACCCCCATTTTCTAGATGGGGAAGCTGAAGTTCAGGGACTTTAAGTAACTTGGGCAAACAACAAACAGAGCCACTTTGTTTACTGCAGGTTTAGGGAGCACCATTGTCCTGGCTTATTGGAACTTGGGGGTTTTCCCGGGATGCAAAAATCTAGAAGAACAAAAAAATTAGGAAAGTCCCGGGTCCCCTGGGAAGAGCTGGTTACCCCACTATGTCCAAACCTTGGGTCCTGCAAATCACCACACAGTGGATTTTTTAAAAAATACATTTTAAAGCTACCATTTTGGCAGCGTATGATCTGCAATGAATTTTCATGAAAATGAAAACCACAAGCCTTTCTAGTCTTTATCTTACAGTATCCAAGAAAGACTTGTTTTTCCTGTGAAAGAGTAAAACAATTGCTGTTCTACGATACAAACTAGCATGGGAACTTTTCAGCTTAAGAGTTTCTGCAAACTTCTGTTTCAAAATAGCAACAGAGTCCAAAGAGCCAGCAGGTCCTCCCCTGGCCTCCCCCGGCCTCCGCAGGCCCTCCAGCTGGCTCAAGGGCTGCGGGGCGTGAACGGGTGGGCTCCTCACAGAGCGGCACACCAAGTCAAGTGCTCCGGCTGCAGGGTCAGGAAGCTTCGTAATTCCTCTTCTACAGCTCAGAGACAGCTTCCGCTATCACTGGGAACTCAACCTGAGCAGTGCACGAGCGGCGTGCATTCCTGGTAAGTCAGGAGGGCCAACCAGCAGCAAGTTAGCGTTGCCCAAACAGCTCTGGTCCTTTCTCTTTTAAAACGATCCACGTACACCCACTAGGATGGCAAAGAGGATAAAGACAGACAATAACAAATGTTGACAAGGTATGGAGAAACAGGAACATTCATACATTGCTGGTGGGATTGTCAAATGGTGCATCTGCTGTGGAAAACTTTGGCAGGTCCTCAAAAAGTGAGACACAGAACTACCATATGACCCAGCAATTCTACTCCTAGGTATATACCCAAGAGAAATGAACACATATGTCTACATAAAAACCTGCATGCAAATATTTACACCAGCACGATTTATAATAGCTCCCAAATGGAAACACCCCAAATGACCACCAAATGAATAATAAACAAAACAAACAGAGCACATCCATACAACAGAATGTTATTCGGCCATAAAAAGGAATGAAGTACGATAGATGCTATGACATGGATGAAGCTTGAAAACATTATGCTAAGGAAAAGAAGCCAGTCACAAAAGGCCACATATCGTACAAGTCCATTTCTGCAAAACGTCCGGAACAGGAAAATCCATAGACAGAAAGTACATGAGTGGTTGCCAGGGGCCGTGGGTGAGGGGAATGGAAAGTAACTGCTGATGTGTATGGAGTTTTTCAGATAATGAAAATGCTCTAGAATTAGATGCACTTAAAAAGATTAAAAATAAACTTTAAAAAAGGAGAGGTACTTAAAACAAATAAAAGCTTTAAAATTTTGTATACTCAATTCCACTTCTAGAAATCTTTACACTAAGGAAATAAAAACAGATATGCATTAAGATCTACCTATAAGATTGTCATCTGAGATGTAACGGCAGAAAACAGGGGTGGGGGACCTTTATATATCCAACTAAAAGTAACCTGCTAAATAAACTACGGGACAGGAGTGGGCATTATTCCAGAGAAACAAAAACTTAGGTTCACACAAAAACCTGTACATGAATGTTCACAGGAGCTTTATCTGTAACAGCCCCAAACTGAAACAACCAAGATGTTCTTCAACAGGTAGATGATTAAACGAACAATGGTACATCCACACCACAGAACATTACTCAGCAATAAAAAGGAACACACTACTGATACACGTAACAATCTGGGAGAAGCTCCAGAGAATTATGCTGAGAGAAAAAGACAATCCACTTATGTAACCTTTCTGAAATCACAAAATTATAGAGATGGAGAAGAGATTAGTGGTCGCCAGGGGTTAGAGATGGCGTGCAGGCAGGAGGGGAGCAGGGGTGGCTATAAAGGGCAACGTGCTGATGCACACATTCTCTATCTCGACTGTACCAATGTCAGTATCCTGGTTGTGACACTGATGTTACCATTGGCAGAAACTGGGCAAAGGGTATCTGGATCTCTATTATTTCTTACAACTGTTTATGAATCCATAATTATCTCAAAACAAAAAGTTACATCTTTTAAAAAAGACCCACAAAAGTGAGGAAAACAAACCAATAAACAAGACTAAGCATACGATTTTTAAAACAAATTCAACCACCATCCCCTCTGCCCAACTCAATCACACACAGTCATGACTTCTCACTGTTTGTGAAATGCTACTGTTTGTAAAGGAAGGTTTTTGCTGGAGAGGGATAGTGTGAACTATGACTCTGTTCACGAAAGCTTAACACTTCACCTAAATGCTGGTGTTTCCACTATTTTAATTTTGACTACAGTCTAACTTAGCTTCCCAGTAAATGCTTATTTATCCACACTGCTCAGGCAATGGGGAATACTGGTTTGCTCTAACGTTCTGATGCTCTTCAAGGGACCATACAACTCACACAGGCCAGTTTTGACCAAGTAAGAAAATCATCAAATAACACCTTCCTGAATCAAATTTAATCTTTGATGATTCAGAGGCACTCTGTGATCTTAAAGTGTTTCAGAGTCAGAATTACGAACGTCAAGTCCCATTTTACAGGACTGCGGAGGAGTAGGCATAGATAATCGGAATAAATCTGTAAATCTTTTATGCTTCTATGGCTTTAAATGATAAGTTCCTGCAATCAGTTATTTCCTCACCACTTTCCATTCTCATAAACAGAGCATAGAAAACTTTAGATATCAATAGTTTTGAGTTGTCAAGATTCTAGATGTTTTTTGATAATGAAAAATATTAATAAAAGCTTACTGCATGATGAAAAATAAAAACTGTGCTTTCTTCTATCCTTTGGATCATTTTCTTGTCAATCTCCTGAAAAACACAAAGTGGTTAAGGAGCACTTTTTTTTTTTTAAAGATTGGCATCTGGGCTAACAACTGTTGCCAATCTTTTTTTCTGCTTTATCTCCCCAAACCACCCCCCGTACATAGTTGTACTTCTTAGCTGCAGGTCCTTCTAGTTGTGGGATGTGGGATGCCGCCTCAACATGGCCTGAGGAGCGGTGCCATGTCCATGCCCAGGATCTGAACCCTGGGCCACCGCAGCGGAGCGCGCGAACTTAACCACTCGGCCACGGAGCCAGCCCCAAGAAGCATTTTTACAGTGCAGAGGAGAGACTAATCATCCTGTGACGCCACAGCTGACTGCAGTGGGCGCTGGGTGCTGGGCAGGCGGCACCCGTGTGCTCTGCAGGGGGCCCTCTGCTGCTTGTCAACAGGAAGGAACCACTCAGCCCCCACAGCTCTCCAGAGAACAGCAGACGGCTTTCCAGAAAAGAAAGGCTGAGATGACTTCTTCTGTAACCCTCTGCAGAAATTCTCCAGCAAGATTAGATCTCTTCCTAGCAATGCTTCTCTTTTCACTAAGCGCTACTTTCAACAACTGCCACTGTGTTCAAAACCCCCGTAACAACTATTAAAGGTGAAATACTGAGAATCAGGCCGTAAAGTGATTACATTTTAGTGGAACTGCAAGTATTTTAGCAAGTCATATTCATGTAACTGAATATTCTGACTGGCTAATAAGATTTTCTCTTCAATTCTCCCCAAGTACCAATATTCAACTCCAAGCTGTCATAAAAGCCATTCTGCTGTAAGAAAAAGAAGAAAGAGAAGCCAGTGATCAAATTAACATAAAGTCAATTAGGTGCCCACCCAGAGCCAGAACACCATGAGAGAGACTAACAGGTCTCAAAATGAAAACTAAGGAGGGCCCAGCCCTGTGGCTGAGAGCTCAAGTTCGAGTGCTCTGCTTTGGTCGCCCAGGGTTCGCCGGTTCGGATCCCAGGCACACACATGGCACCGCTCATCAGGCCACGCTGAGGTGGCGTCCCTCATAGCACAACCAGAGGCACTCACAACTAGGATATACTAGGTACTGGGGGGCTTTGGGGAGAAGAAGAAGAAAAAAAAGAAAATTGGCAACACGTTAGCTCAGGTGCCAATCTTTAAAAAAAAAAGAATAAAAAAATTAATGATATAGTTGAGGGGGAAAAAACCCCAATCTGTGTATAGAACTTGAAAAAATTCTTTCCTGGAGAAGTCAATCAGGTGAAAATTTTAGAAAAAGAATTTAGGTGGTAAAATGGCATATATCATTGTTTAACAACGTGCCTTTCTTTACTGAGCACCAAATGTGTTTAAGACATTATGGCAGCAGGCAGAGCTACTGAACACAGGCCTTTCACCTAAGCTCAGAAACCTAGCTGTCATCCCATTGGAATCCATATTTTTAGCTCATTTCAAAACACAGAAATTCAGCACAAATTAACAATAGTTCAACATACAAACCCTTCTGAAAGGCAAGAACATTTAATCCAGGTGGGTGGGGAGCAGATATAAAATGATACACAATATCCCACTTTAATTTGGAAAAGCGATCACATTTTTTCTCATCAGAACCAAATGAAAACAATTACTCGAAGAAAATTTAGATGACTACAGAAGCAGTGACACGTTTAAAATGTACTGTGGTTTGCTCCAATGATTTTTTTCATACACATGAACAATTTAATATATGCCACCAGGTTGGAGAAGGGAAGAGAGAACGTTTTAGCTCAGGCTGCTCTAACAAAATATCACAGACAGGAGGTTTAAACAGGTTCACGGTTCTGAAGGCTGAAGAGTCCAGGATAAGGTGCCAGCAGATCCAGTGCCTGGTGAGCGCGCTCTCCCTGGCTTGCAAACAGACACATCCTAGCTGTATCCTCATGTGGTGGGGATCGGGCTCTGGTCTCCTTCCTCTTATAAAGGTGCTAATCCCATCATGGAAGCCCCACCCTCATGACCTCTTATAAACCTATTTCCCTGAAGGCCCCACCTCCATATACCATCACAATGGGGGTTAGGGCTTCAGCATAAGAATTGGGGAGAGGACACAAACACCCAGCCCACAACAGAGAGGTAGTTTTCCATTTAAGAGGTAAAATGAATGACTGTTTACAGAGTCAAAAGAAAATTGCTGCTTTTTAAAAATCCGTAGTCACTAAAATGAATCATTTTCATTCATTCATTCATGTTATCAAAACACATAATCTCTACTTTACTAAAGGGCTGTGTTCCAGATGTTAATTTGTAAACCAGTCATCTGGCCTTTAGAAAATTCTGTTTTCTGTATTCTATTTTCTACAGAAGTAATGTTACCTTAGTCATTCTTAACCTTTTGGGGACCCCACGTCAATTGTGAAAATGTGATTAAACAAAGGAGACCTTCTCTCTATCCCCAGATGACAGAGAGTTTAGATAAAACTGACATTTATGGTCCCTAAAATCCTACGCGTCCTCAGTCCCCAAATTAAGAACCAGAGCTGTAAGAGGTCAACAGATCTCCAGATGGGCCCTAAACTACTTAACTCATAATGAAACAGCACCTACAGGACTACTGATTCTATTTGTACGAGAAACTATAATCTGTAATATGTCTAATTTGAGTTACACTCCCCTGGGCTCTGACACTTAACAGTGTAATATGATCTTTAGTAACCTGCTAAACCTGCACAGACCTCCATTTCCTGATCTATGAATATGTGCATAATAATACCTATACCTCATGCAGTTATTGTGAGGATTAAATGAGATTATATGAAACACCTGGCACAAAGCACAAGCACCTCAATTCACAGCAGCTATTTTTATTATCATCAGCAGGCATCCACCAAACATGCATTTAATGCAGCAAAACAGAAATCCACAAGACAGTAAATCTGTCTCCAGAGAGGCAGGGGAGAGAGAAGCGATAAATAACTAATGAAGCAATCGAGGTGCCTTGACAAAGCACCTACGGAGGTTAATAGGGGGATAAAAAAAGAGGAGTCAATTTCACACAGGGACGAGTGGGTCAGGTGTCTTCGGGTTAAGGCTTGCCAGTGGGGGTGGGGATGGAGGGGAGGGGAGAGAAAGTGAAAAACAATGTTGGAGAAGCAGGTAAGGGCTCCAGTGTTTAATTTTAAACTGGGGAGATGGGGTGAGAGTGGGGGTGTGCAGGAGGCTGGCAAGAAGGGCAGATCAAGGTCAACTGAGAAGCCCAGAGCAAGAGTCCACGTGAGAGATGGAGGACTTCCTGAGGCCACGGCAGGGGAAGGGACGCAGGGGCCACAGAGATGTTCTGGGTGGGCAAGATGAAGCCCCAGCTCTGGCTTCTCACTCTGCGCCCTGGATGGGGGTGCTATTCATGAGTTACGGAGCACAGGACCAAGCAGGACAGAAGAAGGGAACAGGGGAGAGTTCCGACCATCACGCAGAAAGGTCCTGCTCTGCTACTGATCTTATTAATCACACATCCATCATACAGTTTCTTCCTTTTTTTTTTTTTAAAGATTTTATTTTTCCTTTTTCTCCCCAAAGCTCCCTGGTACATAGTTGTATATTTTTAGTTGTGGGTCCTTCTAGTTGTGGCATGTGGGACGCTGCCTTAGCATGGCTTGATGAGTGGTGCCATGTCCGCGCCCAGGATCCGAACTGGTGAAGCAGAGCATGTGAACTTAACCACTCGGTCACGGGGCCGGCCCCCATCACACAGTTTCCTAAGTGCCTGTTGAGGTAGGAGGCAGGGCATATACTGTGAATTATTAGTGTGCAAATTAGTGGAAATTCACTGTACTGACATGTTCTCTTCCAGGAAAAAATTTGGAAGATGAAGTGCGCACTGAGTTCGTAATGTTAAGTATAAGAAGTTCAGGCTGAAGCTGGAACCTAAGCCACACATTTGTCCAGGGATTCATATCCTCTTGTTGTTCTAAGAAAACATTAAGCCAGCTATGCTCTAACATGAATTACACACTTCAGGAGGCTGAATTATTTAGCAAATTGCTATTTCCCTCCACTAAATGGTTTGCTAATGACTGACTGCTCCAAAGAAGCTTTCTAAAGCCATCCTCCTATCTCATTAACATCTTTCCAAGAGAAGCTAACAACCACTTGGAACCTAACCCAGCCCACCATTTCAAATGATTTTCCTTATTTTCAAGTCCTTTTCTTTGAAGAGCATAATGATTACGTATAACAGGAGCAACTAACACTGAGTCCTTACTATGTACCAATAGCTTTTCTGGTAAAATTTACAAGGATCATCTCACTTACTCCTCATGCCAGCCCTTTCTCAGGTTCCCTTCTCAGAGACGAGTCCACTGAGGCCGAGAGCAATTCAGTCATTTATCCAAGGCCACAGCGATAGCACCATTACACCCACTGCCTCCCCACGTTACAGTAAAATAAAAAAGGGACATTTATGGCAGAAAATCTGGAAAGCAGAGAAAAGCTTGTTTCATTTTAAAGCAAAAACAAAAAGTAACCAAGGCTGTGGCAGGAACCCTGTTCACCCTTCTATTGTTTACAAGCAGCGTGATCTCAGGGAAGCTGATGTCTGGAGGCCTGGTGTCCCCACCTGGAACATTCTCCCCAAACGGGGAAAAAAAAAGACTTACCTAATCAGTGGAGATGCTTCACAGAGGCATTCAGCACGCAGCTAGGCCAATATTACATAATAAATATGTAAAATATAAGTAATTGTGTTGTGTCTACTTTTTTTTCGGCTTTAAAATAACAAACACTTGTAATCTTGCGTTTCAACACTGTAGCAATTACTTTCTTCACGACCCTAATTTGAGTTCTGAAGCAATATTTATATAAATGCTTTAATTATTCCCCCATTATTAGTTATTTGATCTGTTTCCAAGTTTTTACTGTTCTCCAATAACGTTGTGATGAACATCTTCGCACAGAAAACTTCAGCTGTATGTTAAAATTATTTATTTGAGTGAGAGTCCCAGAAACGGGCCAATTACATCAGTCTTAATATATACCGCAAAATTTCTT